GTAGCTTAACATTGCCCTGGGATACATGAAGTATCCCCTCCCCTGTCCCACCACCAAACACACACACCTGAAAGTAGAATCAAACCCCCTGCTTAATCTTTCTAGCCCCAGGGTTACTGTTTCACATGGGAATTTAACACACATCAATTTGCACAATGGGACAGCCAAGGGGGCATCTTCTTGTAAGGATGAGAGTCAGCTTGTTGGTTTTGATCTACATCCTGTGTGGGGGGCAATAAAGTAAGCATACCCCTTCATGCTGAGATCCCTCAGCTCCCAGACAGTCCCACTCAAGGAAGTTTTCAATTCATAATTCCATTTTATTCCTCCAGTTAAATATCATAGCTCAAGATAAGCCTGTTTATTATCTGACTCTCCATTTTCATCCTATTATTTCTGATGACATCTGACAGCTCACACACTGCCTCTTCTGCTTGTTTTTCTGTAGAAGCCTGGCCTTCACTGGCAACATTTCCCTTCTTCCCTTCCTATGATGCCACAGGCACGTGCCTAACAAGGGGTGCTTTCTGCAAAGCCCGTTTAAACTCTCACTATGTCTAAGAGGATCTCTAGGTCTTCCATTGTGACTGTTAGTTTTTGGCAGCAGTACCAAATACTTACTTAGCTAAACTGGCAACACCTTCTTTGTTCACTTAACCAGAAGGACTCTCCCTACCTCAGCGGCATAAACTTCAAGAAGTAACAGCTGCAAGATTCTAAGAGCGTGTGTTTATGATGAACTTTGTCAGCTATATTACAAGCAACTTTCTTTGACTCAATGAGTTTTTGGTGCATGAGAAAACTAGTTGGCCCACGCTACACCAATTAGGAATGGGTGTTAGTTGCTAGTGTTTATACCAAGAATTTCTGGGATTAAATTTCTAGTGGAAAGATCTCTCTTAGAATACACTGCCAAATGAAGTCATGTTCTTGCCTGAACAACTATTTTATCATCCTTTAAAAACAAAATATATCATGAGTTGGCTTTTTAAAATAGGAGACAAGGGGCCCAGGTAAGTGCACTGGCTGCTCTCACAGAGGACCCAGGTTCAGTTCCCAGCACCCACATGGCAGTCAACAACTGACAATAACTAGTTCCAGGGAATCTGATACCCTTTTCTGGTCTCTACGGGCATCATACACATGTGGTGCTCCTACATACATGTAGGCAAAACACTCATACTCATAAAATAAAAACAGGAAATTTAAAAATAGGATACAGAAAAGATGAAGGGTATTTTGAAAGAGAAACAACTGACTTTAATGAGGTTTTTTAAAAAAAATAGGTCAGATATATCCAACATTTGTATTCAAACTGTAGATTTGGGTTATATGACATAACTTTGCCACGCCTTAGAGTCAGAGTTTCCAAAGGAATATTTACTATCTTGTCCCCAAACTCTCTCTCCCCTGTTCCTATTTTGTCTGTATCCAACATCTCTGCCAGCCACTTGGATTTGAAGTCCACAGCCAGTCTTTCTCAACTGCTCTCTTGCATGGAACACTAAGGAAAGCATGGAACTGAGATCATGTCCCACCCTGACTTACTCTGCCCCGAACCATCTAATACTTCAGTAGGACCTTGAAAGATGCACACAAAGTTCCAAAGCGAGTATTAAGGGGCCTCCCCGATCGGGCCAATGGATCTTTCAGTTTCACCTCCACCACTACCTGTAATCTGGATCAAACATCAATAACACCATAAGCTCCCAAACTATAGGTTTCTCTGTTCTGGTGGCCCTTTATTCATTTTTTTTCCCTTAACAGTGAAGTTCTTTGATCCCTTCAAAGGATACTTTCTCCATGAAATCATCTAAGATTCCCTGATCAGATAGATACTCCTTCTGTCTTGAATCTCCACAGTCTGGTGCTCAGCATATCTGTCCTTCATTTCTTGAGGTTATTTATGAATTCTGTGTTCTTGTCAAGACAAAGTGGTCATAGCTGAGAATATGTCTCACTCTTGTCCAAATTCCCTGTGGTACCCAGGACACTGCCTGGCATTTAGGAAGGGCTCAGAACAGTCTGAAAACACAGTTTCTGTACAAATAATATACTATTGATTGATTGATTGATTGATTGAGTTGCAATTTCATGATCCTTTTGATTGCATTCATTATCCCCTTTTTCAAAAAAAAAAAAGATTGGACCCAGGTCCTCTACAAGAGCAGTCAGTGCTCTTCCCAGTACCCACATGATGGTTAACAACCATCTGTAGCTCCAGATCCAGGGAATCTGATGCCCTCTTCTGACCTCCATGGGCATTACATAACATGGGTGCACTTACACACATGCAGGCAATACACTCATACACATAAAGTAAAAATAATAAAATATTTTCTAAAAGATTGGTTTTTATTATCTTTATGTATATATTTGTATGTGTGTGAATACCACACATGAGTGGGTACCCTTGGAGACCAGAAAAAGGTGCTGGACCCATTGGAGTTGGAGTTATAAGTGGTTCTAAGCAACCCTGACTATGTGGGTGATGGGAACTGAACTCAGGTCCTCTGGAAGAGCAGCAAGCATTACCTTCATACCCAAGTATCTACCAGTCTTAAAAGCAGCCAGGGAGGGTGGTGGAAACTCTTCTTGGAAACAGGGCTCATCAAGCAATCCTCCTCCACTGGCCCACATGACATGCTTCACTGCAAACCACTGTTGTCTGTAGCTTCCATGACTTTTAGCTCAAAGTCAAAGAAGATAGTCATAATAAACTCTTTTATTGAAATTAAGAATTTATACAAAGGGACACAAAGGAAGCAGTATCTACAGTTTGCAGAAGACCTATATCCAGGACTCTGATACCTAACCAGGTGACAGAAATAATATGCTTCTTATTGGCCTAAGACCGACTCCTCTGGGGCTGGAGAGATTGCTTAGCATTTAAAAGCATGCACTGCTCTTACAGAAGACCGAGCTAAGTTCCCAGAACCCACATTGTCTGGTCCACAACCACCTGTAAATCCAGCTCCATAGAATTCAATGCTATTTTCTGGACCCTGTTTTCTCCTGCATGTGTGCATGCGCGCGTGCACACACACACAGTTTTAAAGAATTGTCTTTCTAGAGTGGACATAATGGGAGTCAGGATTGATGTGATGGGTTTTGTTGCTGCTGCTGTAGTGTTTTAAACTTTTCTCCATAGTATCTAGCCTTCGGTTATAATGTTTAGCTCTTGGAGGTTTGGGGTGGATATGTGAGCAGCTCTGAACACTAACCCCTCAACTGGAACTATTTTTAAAATGATATTTCTTACAGAATATAAAGGAATTAGATGTGATCTTCTGAAGGAATGAATTTAGGAACACAGTGGCATCAACAGACCCATGCTCTTCTCTTACCTGTGCTCTGTCATCCACAGACTTCAACCTATCCTAAAGACTGCTGCTCTTAACACTTGCTGACTTTTGGTTCACATGGGGGTGGAAGGATGAGATGAAGGGGACATCTTTACTAATTAAATAAAAGTCAAGAGACTTTTGGGTGCTGATTTGTCATTTTAGGTCATACACCTGGAGCCCAGTACAAACAGCTGTCTCCAGGGAAAAATTGGGTACCCATTTGCACAGGCTCAGGTTCCTGAAATCATTTCTTAAAAGGGAGGTTAGAATTTCCATGGTTGGCTAAGACTAAGTTAAAACCATTTGGGAAGAGATGTAAATTATTAAAAGCATTGTGATGCTCTAAAACACACATACAGAAGGAATAGAATGGATGCTTACAGAGTAGTAATTGTAAACACAAAGTGAGACAACTATTCAAATAATGAAGACAGCTGACTTTTTAAATTAAGAAACTACAATTTGTTAAATATGAATTCTAAAAAGAATTTATACTGATTTCACTGAATGAGATTTAGTTAGAAATAGGCACCAACATTTTCCCAACTGGATCAATGAAGATATTGAGCTTATTTGATGTTAACTGTAAATCCCACGAAGTCAGAGATCATGCAGATCTTCCTCAGCAACCTATCCCTGATACTTAGCAGAGGGCCTGGCCCAGGGAGATGCTCAGTTTTTTTCTGCTTCGATAACTTACATTAAGTGATGAACACTTGTGCATGAGAATCAGACATTACACAGAAGAGAAATCCTAGACTAAATTATCCATATGCAATGAACCATAAAGGTATCAAGGGGGAAGGCTTTGCCCTATAAAGAAGGACCATCTATAAACTGCTCCACTCCAAGTCATCGATGGTCTATAATCCCAGGAAACATCTATGACAACATTGTAGTTGAGTAAATATCATTTTTGTCTTCAAAAAGGTATCACTCCGGGCTTCAGAGATGGCTCAGTTGGTAAAGTGCTTACCTTGCAAGCAACTGAGTTCGATCCCCTAAAACTGATTAAAAACAAACAAACAATAAAAAAATTAAAAAGCAGTAGGCATTGTGTCACGCACTTTTAGTCCTTCTGCTGGTAGGGTGGAGAGAAGAAGATCCTTGGGACTCACTAGCCAGCCAGCACATCTACTTGGCCATTTCAAAGCCAGTGAAAGACTCTGTCTCAAAGAAAAGGCGGGCGGCGCTTAAAAGCAATTTCTGAAGTTATCCTCTGGCTTCCACATACACACATGGGCACATGCACCTGCAGACAGACAGACAGACAGACAGACAGACACACACACACACACACACACACACACACACACATGCACACATGCACTCATGCACGCATGCATGCACACATGCACATACACCCACACCACTTCAAACTGCCCTTCAGTGAAAGCTGAGTGTTTGAACTAGGGAAGCTCTGCTTTTCTCTGGCATCAGCAAGAACATAATCTCTTCTCATGAGGTCTCCTGTCAGAAGCCACAACAGACATTCCCAGAAAGACATCCCACAATGCCACTGATCAGCCAAACTAAATGTGCCATTCTAGATTTCCCTGTAGCTTGGCAGTACAGGCTTGTGAAGGCACCTCATTTCCCTCTTGAGTCTTTCTGCAGACTCTCTGGATGACGTGGTCCAGCTGTCACACTGACCTCCCAGGACACTGGAACTTCCCGCCTCCAAATGCCATGAAGCAATCCAAGAAAGCATGCTTCTCTAAATTTGCCTTTTCCCAGCGTTCCTGTGGGAAGAAAACATTTTTTGTTCCTTATTCAGTCTTATATAAATAAGCTTAACTTTTAACTTTAAGCTAAAAATGACTTGTACAGCTAATCCTTGCATATAAAGCTGAAGAATTGTTGGTAATCTTTTTCCAGCCTATTATTAATATCAGACACAACTGTGTTTTTGGAACATGAACTTATAAATAAAAAACGCTTAAGCAGAATTCTATTAAGTGGCGAATGTAAATGATGACATCAATCAACTACAGAATTGACTTAAAAAGAGGAAGACTATTTATAACAAGGTCTCAGGCTTTATCATAAAATTGCTCTTAGTAATAAATTTAGTAGCAAGACACTGACAGTCCCACTTTCTGGTGTAAGCTTGGGATGTGGAATGAATACATCTGGATGGAAGTTCTGGTAGTTTTACTTAGAGGCAAAGAATGAACCAGATGAAGTCTTAAGATTCTGTTCAGCCCTGTGATTTCCCAAGCATACAAAATAACAGATCACTGTTTTAATTTGCTGTATTTTTATTTTGTGGGCTCCTTGGAAACCAGTTGCAGAAGCAATTGGCAGAGGAATATGAAGAAAGTCCTCCACCAGAATCAGGGCTATTTCCATTAACATGCCTTCCTGCTTTTACATAAATTTCATTTTAGAGGTTACTCAGATCACACTCCTCTCTGTGCGGTCTGCAAATGATGCAACATCTGCATTGCAAATGTGATTTGCAATTTATAGCAGAAAAATACAGCTGCCTAATGATATGATCTTAGTTAACTTAGGAATTCATATTCTTGGAAAAAATAGAATTTAAAAAGAATACTATACATTGAAAAAGAGATAACTTACAGGTTTGAACAACTCAGGTTCAGAAAAATACTTTGGATTTCTATGTAGCCAAAATGGAGACAGCATCAACAGGTCGCCAGAAGGAACCGTGTAATTCTAAGAGAAATCAGTTTCAAATCATTTATTTTGAGATATGCTTTGGAGGAACTTTGGGACATTTAAAATAAAGCTATGATTACATTGTACCAAAGACAAAATTGAGAGTGAGAAAGACATCCTGGACTAGGCCATTTCCATGTGTATGTAGTATGCACACATGTGCATACATTTGTGTGTGAGGACATGATCACCCATGCAGGTACATGTGAAGGCAGAAGTCAAGCTCGGGTGTCATTCTCTACTGATAAACACTTTATTATTTTCTTCTTTTTTCTGCCACATTCTCTTTATTATTCTTTCTCTCCTAAGTGCACATTTGTTCTTTTTCTTTTTTTCTTTTTTTTAAACACCTTATTTTTTAGTTTTTAAAAGTACATTCATTTATTTATTTTGTGTTTGGTGTGTGTACAGATGCCATACCTCACATGTGGAGGTCAGAGGACAACTTGCAGGAGCCAGTTCTCTCCCTTCACCATGTAAGAACAGGGAACAGAATTCAGAGATTCAGCCTTGGCAGCAAGCACCTTTACCCACTGAACCATCCTGGGAGCCTATTTTTAATTAATTATTTATTAATTTGAAACAGGGTCTCTCACTGTTGTTGGCCTGTGAACCCCTGGGATCTGCTGGTGTTTGGCCTCCAGCATTGTGTATATAGGTGTGTGTCCTCACACTCTTACCCCTTTTCCCTCCCATGCTGAGCCAACAAGGACCAGACCCAGGGCTTTGCACTTGCTAGGCCGGTGCTCTACCACGGAGCTATATCTCAAACCTCCACACTCTTATTTGTATGCAAGTGCTGGGGATCTGAATTTGGTCCTCAAGCCCTTTAATAAACTGAGTCATCTCTCTAGCCCCCCAAAAGGTTATTCTATTGTGCAGTCAGGCAGTGAATAATTTCTAGTTCTGCTTATTAGTCACATGTACATATATACATGGCTATATAGATGGAAATATTAGATAGACGTCAATGTATTAGACGTGAGGGTAAGTTCATTCTAATCTAGCATCTGATATCTGATGATGAGGTTTACAAGGTTCTCAATGGAAATCATAGCATTTGTATAGGTTATGAGGCAGAAAAGTCTAACTCTGAGACAAGGACAGTGGTCACAGCATCACTGAACATGGGGACAGTGGTTTGATTAACAGGGCAGGAGGAGTAGATTAATTTCTTAAGTACAATAGTAGCTGTTAGGGAAGAAAGGAATTCAAAGACAATGGGTTGGGAGGACTTGGGACAAAGCAAGTGTTGTGCATTCATTTAGTTGGGCTTGTGCCTGGGATCCAGGGGTCATGGGGCTAAAGATGAGCCTGTACTTCTTCACACAGCAGAACTGACTCTATCCTTCCCTATTCATGTTTTAGTAGATTTTCATGATCTATAAACTTTAGACCAAGACCAACAAACTGTCTCATAGATTACCCCCTCTATGGCCGTATTCAGGAGTCACAGATGTCCCAGTTTTTGTGATCATCACATGACTATAATGAAATGAGGTAGCTTAGAGGGCAATTCTTACTGTCAATCATCACAAGTCATGTCTATTTAACACCATACAATTTGTATGTGTTCTTGGGGCATTTGTAATGCACTTATTCTAAGTGCCTATGCCTCAGCATTTTTACTTTATAATTCAAAGTTGGTCCTATGGCAGCAGAAAGTAGAGTGTGAGGTCATCAGTTTTTAATCTGGGTGAACCCCCATTGGTTCCAGTGGGATTTGAACATTGCTTAAGGTTTGGCAATGACAGTTCCAGGAAAGCTGGACAGAGTCAGATTCAAAACTGGGCAAAGTGACACCTTAACTGGTATCCTCCAACCATTTTTTAAAAAGGAAGAGATTTGTGAGTCCCTAATTCAATGTTTTTCTTGTCCTGGGTCTGAGGCTGGAGAGGTCAGGACTGACTCTTAAATCAGTCAGAGACTCCACTATGTATACGTGGGGTTAATGCTGGGTATAGTCCTGGGACAGATCTCCAGGCTGGATGACTGCTGCCTCTCCTTCCCCATCCTATGGTCCTCCGTAGCTGCTGGTGATCTGTAACTGCAGCCCATGCATCAGAGTAGCCCAGGAAAGGGGGTTTCAAGTGGGTCCTTGGGAACAAAATTACAAGAAGAAATTCCAGCTGGTTGGATCAAAAATACCCTGAGCTGGCAAACAGATGTTGTCATGCCCAGTCTAAACAGTCTTATCTTTGTTTACATAGAAGATGAAGAAGAAGATTGAGAAGGAGACCAGACTTTGGTAGGGCCAGAATTAAGCAAGAGCAGTCACCACCTCTGAGTCTCAATGACTGGGTTACTCAGACAAACACAGGTGAGCCTACCCAGCCCACCTCCCTAGATGCAGTGAGACCAGTTGAACACCATCTGCTGATCAAGAGATGAGGCTTCTGTGAAGAGAGAAGACAGGATGCCCTGCTATGCCTGAAAGATGCTAAGGGGGAATAAGGAATGAGACTCTTGGAGAGAAAAGTGTTGCCCTGCAGGGGTAGAGCATCTACAGGAAGAAGTCAAAGGCACACAACATTTTCTCTTAGCTCTTGATCAGAAGTTTTGCTGGTATTCACTTTCATATACGAGTATTTATTATTTATTTATTTATTTATTTATTTATTTATTTATTTATTTATTTATTTTTGAGACAGGGTCTCACTATGTAGCTCTAGCTGGCCTGGAATTCACAGAAGATCTGCCTGTCTGCCTCCAAAGTGCTGGGATTAAAAGTGTACACCACCATATCAGGCTGCATAACATAAGTATTTTAAAATTTAAGGTTATAAACCCTTTGTGTCATAAAAAAAACCTACCTTTATGAGCCAGGCATGGTGGTGCATGCCTGTAGTCAAAGCACTTGGGAGGCAGAGGCAGGTGGATCTCTCTGAGTTCAAGGCCAGCCTGGTCTACCTAGTGAGTTCCAGGACAGCTGGGGCTACAGGGAGACCCTGCTTCCAAAGGACAAAAAAAATTATCAAACTAAATAAGAAAACAGAACTTTAGGAATCTCCAAAATCTTGCCAAGAAATGAGCCTGTTCAAAAAACATATCCTTAGCTGGGTGTGGTGGCACACACCTTTAGTCCCAGCACTGGGGAGGTAGAGGCAGGCAGATCTCTGAGTTCAAGGCCAGCCTGGTCTACATAGTGAGTTCAGGTAAGCTGGGACTACAGGGAGACCCCGTCTCAAAAAGACAAAAAAAAAAAACCAAAACAAACAACAAAAAAAAACATATCCTTATATTTACAGACAAAGTTTCTTTTTGCAACAGATGGAGACTATTGTAGAGTTCCACACTGGTCAAAAGCAGAAAATACGTGTCTGTGAGGTGCCCATCCCTAAGTGACACATCTACAATGTAAACTTTACAGCTAAACCTCAGGGAACATAGCAGAACAGGGGGTGGAAAGAACATTAATGCATCTCTCAACTCTCATCAGCAAAGCTTCTTCATGCAACAGATAGTGATTAACCCAGAAAGCCATAACTGGCCAAAGTACAGAGAATAAGAAGAAACTGCTGAGTGATTACTCCCAAATAGGACAACTATGTCAAACTTCAACCTCCCAAGGCTCAGGAATCATTGAGGAAGAGAGGGCAGAAAGACTTTAAGAGCTAGGGGTAGTGGGTAACCACAAGGAAACAGTTTGCCAAACAGCTGGGAAGTTACGCATATGAACTCACAGCAATGGTAACAGCATGCACAAGACCCACACAAGCTCAACTCAGAAAAATCCCAGCATAGAAGTGAGGAAGTGGGTAAGCAATTAGCTGAGGAACTACTGGCAACCAATAACTCCTGGGAGAGGAAGGGTCAGTTTTCTTTAAAGGTGTGAGACTATATCAGTTTACCAGGCTCCAGTGGATAGATGCACACCAAAGACATTTGGGGACACAAACTTGATTTAATAGGCCTTAATATTTATGATAGAGTACATGAAATATGTTGGAGAGGTCTGCAAGAGGGGAGTAGACAGGGAGGGGGTCTAAATGTGATAAAAATATGTTGTATGAGCCGGGCTTGGTGGTGCACGCCTTTAATCCCAGCACTTGGGAGGCAGAGGCAGGCAGATCTCTGTGAGTTCAAGACCAAAAAAAATGTTGTATGAAATTCTCACAAATTCAATTAAAATATTATTATTGAACAAATTATTAATATAAAGTATAGTTTTAAACTGGCTAAATGCAAAAAGCTCAGTCTGAAAATGTATATCAGTAAGAAACTATTACTTGTAGAGTCTTTGTACAGTACCAAAGATTAGCCACAGATAGGTAAAATGGCTATAAAATGCCTCTTTCTTTCCTAGCTACATAGCTGTGAATGGTTGGATTTTCTCCATTTTTACTCATGAAAACAACCTGTCATAATAGGTTGATTGAAGATATATAGGAAAATCTAAAAGTTTTCTGTTAGTAAGACATTCAACAGACTTGCAAAAAGTTGAAATGAGCTATTTTGTTTTATATTTTAGAAGATAAAAGTTATGCACTAGAGAAATCAACCTTGAACTGCCAGGTAGCTTATACAGTCCCAGAAGTGTTATTCAGGCTGCTGCAGGAGAAACAACATCAGTGGTCTCACCCAGCACTGGACCCTGCATGCTACAATACTGACTTCTGGACAAGCTGTGCTCACTGGTGCAGTAGTGGTTCAACCAGTACAGGGGTAACAACCACTTTCTGATTGGATATGAGGCCTACTCCTCATGAGAGATATCATGCCTGGTATGTAAACCTGATCAAAAGCCCAGGACTGGAGAGATCACAGAGCCCGGGGAAACCCACTGTTGTTTTGCTGTCAAACTGCATTCTAAATACTTATGTTTAGACTTATAGATTGGTGCTATCACTTTTAGCCAGACAAGCTGATTTTTGCAGTGGGTAATGGTTAATGCAGAGTCATAACTGGTCAAAATATTGAGTATAAATAGTTCTGAGTTCTTATCTGTGGATAGATCATCTTTATCAACCTCCTACAATTCAAGGCTCAGGGAACAT